CTCTTAAAAAATCTGGTTCCACCCAACTGGAGGTAAATTCTGTTCTGCAATGTCTCCTATCACTTGTCCACTGTGCTACTGTGGACAGGGAATTTGATCTCAAAGTCTGTTTCCTCACCTGTAGTGACCCTAATGATGATACCTTGAATAAAACTGGGGGCAGTTAAAAAGAAATGATGACTGTAACAAGCTCCAGTCACTGCCTAACACACAGTAAGACCTCAATAAATTTAACTATGTGACAGTAATTGTCATGAACATCATATAATATCAAAAACTGCCAGTGCAGCTCCTACCCATCCTTCCAGTATTAGTTTCTGTGGCCTAGGTAGTTGAGGAACTTTCTCTTCTGAATGACAATAGGATCAATTTTAATTGTGGACATTAGTTATTTAACTATCAGCATCTAGCCTTTTGTTTTTTTCTAGCAAAGACCTGTGTGTGTGTGTATCTGTCTGTCTGTCTGTCTGTCTCCCTTCTCCACTTGAAGTTCATGTGGCTGGGGTAGGTGTTTTCAACTATAAGAATAGAACCCATGACCCAGGCCAAGCAATTTAAATATCACACTCTTAGGTGCACAGCCGATCCAGGGATGGTTGCTTAATCTAATCAAGTGAGACTAAATCTTTAGACATCTATGGACTGAGCAAGAAAAATGTCAATTCCTTCCATCTGCATACAACTTAAGATGCGTGAAGGCAAGGCTTCTGCTGCCATTGCCACCAGGGGCTAGGGCTAAGGGCTGAAACCAACATAATGGAAGGCAGACCTCAGAGAGGGAGGGAGTCAGAGTTAATGACATTGAACCTGAATAGAGCGGTTTCTAAAGCCACTCTTTCTTTCTGACCATCAGGTTAAATGAGCCATTAAATCCCCTTCTTTTCCTTAAGCCTGTATGAGGTTTATTTTCTTTTGCCTCTCACAACAGAAAGAGTCCAAAGAAAATGCAATGTTTTTATCATTTATTTTGAGCATATTACCTTGTGCTTTTTTCTCCTGCTTTATATTTTAAATTATAACTGTGTAACTGCCTAGATCACAGTAGTTTCACAGCCCGTGTTTATGTGCCTATCAACACCCACATTATTTATCCTTATCCTGTTATTTAGTATTTTCCTTACATATCTGGATGTCTTATTTTCCCAAATAATTATATTTCTAGTATTCATGTATTTTCTGTATGTAGCTAAATCTTTGCAAGGCACCGTCTACCCAATAGTGAGTAAAAACATATCCTTGTGTTCATGTCACTTAAAGCCCTATAGAAGAATTAGAAATTCATTAAGTTATCATAGAGAGAAGTTAAAGTTATTAAAATGATAGCTGCCTCATAGAGAGGAAGGATAACATGAAAGGGTAGACAGTAGGGGATTTTCTAGTTGGGGAGGCCAGAAAGGGTTTCCTAGATAAGTGACACTGGTGTGGGAATCTTAAGGATGAGGAGGAGCTGATGAAATGGCAGATTAGAAAGGACAGGCTGGTTAGTAGGAATAGCATGGGCCAAGGCTTATCATGGGCAGCATAAGACAAACTAGTAGAACAAGGGAGAGAATGGAAGAGGTCTAGTTTCTGTTTTATGTTCAGAGCAATGGTAGGGATGGAATGAGTGAGAGAGAGAGAGAGAGAGAGAGAGAGTGTGTGTGTGTGTGTGTGTTTTAGTGGCAGGACAGGGGTTGGAAGGCGGCATGAGTAGATATGAACTTGGCAGCCATCACTGACTGCTGTATAGAGAAGGGTGGGCACGAGGGGAGCATGCTAGAGGATGAGGCAGCACAGGCAGAAGACTACTGAGGTTATCCAGTGGAAGATTATGGTAACTGGAGAAGGAGCTACATGGAGAGATTAGAGCTCTAGTAAAGAGATAAAAACAATAGGACTTGGTGTTTTACTTTAACACAAAGTAAGGTATACTCCTCCCTGAAAGAACAAGCAAGGCTCTGGAATAACCTGTAAATTCTCCATGCAATCTAATAAATGTGCTATTAATGCTGTGAACACATCATTGTGGCTTGGATCCACTGGCAGTTAGACATGACAGAAAAGCAAACATTCCTGCTGGCTCCTGGAGGACAAGCAGGAGTCTACCTAGTAGTATTAAAACAGAAGGACAACATCTATGTAGACCAGGGTAAACCACATTTTGTTCATTCACCTGCAACTATGAATAGGGCATGGCACACAGAGAATCAAATCAAAGAACCAGCCATCACATTCTAAATAAGCCACATTTATCTGGTGCTTGAGAAATGGAAGTTTGTTCTACCTGCTGAAAGTGAGTTACACAGTGCATATGATTGGTATAATGGGCTTTGATTTATTTGCCAGAGATCTAAGCAATGAGGGTCTCTAAGAGATTGGGGTTGGGATAGGTATGGCAGCAAAAGTGAGAGGAGGGCTGGATTCCAGAAATATTTTTGAGGGGAAATCAATGATCTTGGAAAAACACTTGGAGAGAAAAGATTTATAAGGTGTTTGAGTTATGAGAGACTTTGAATTTTCTTGTTTGGAAGACTGACAGATGGTGATGTTATTCACTGGGCAATACAGGAAGATGACAAATTTAAGGATGAAGATAATGAGTTTGAAGTTTGGATATACTGAATTTGAGATAACTTTCAGTTTACTAAATTGTAGGTGTTCAGAAGTCTCTCTCTTTCCAAGCAACAATAACGGCCTCAGAAGAGAGTTGGGAGTTGCTGCTAAGAGTTTTAGAGTCCCGGTAGTAAGGCATTATTTGATGAATTATGATTTTGGAATAATGATTTGGGAGTGTGACTATAAAAAATAGAGCACTGGAATAGATAAAGTTTTGTTAAGCATCTGAGGAACAAGATAAAGAGAACAGGTTATGGAACAGTCTGAAAGGTTACGAGGGCAGGGAGGTGGGTGTATAGAAATTAGAAAGGGAAAGAGTATTGAGAAGAATCAGAAGATTAGTCACTGAAATCAAAAGCTAGATATAGGTTAAGTACTAAGGAGACAAAGTAGAATTCATTAGACCTGGCAGTTATGGTATGATGGGGACCTTTAATAGAATAATTTAATCATGTTAAAGAATTTGTAGCCAAGTGGGCAAGCTGAGAAGCAATTGAGCCAAAAGGATGAGGGGTAGTAAATGCAGGCTGCTCTTTGAAAAGAGTGGGTAATGATGGGAAGGAGAGGAAGGTAAATGGAAGGCAGGCAGAATTTATACAGAAAACTTTTATTCCTTTTATAAAAAGGTTATGTGAACCTGGCCACATATGCAGAATGAATAAAAGACTATGATTTATAGAGAGGAAGCCATTTACTTATGATGTTCGGAAAACTTAATAAAAACTAGAAGAACAAGATGAAACTTATCAGTGCCCAAGAATAGAAGGCGTGACAATGGAGGAAGGTGAGCAGAGGGATTGAAGGGTAGTCTCTTCAGAGTTCAGTTGAGTCACACTCTACTAAGGAATATTTTCGAGGCCTTAGGATCAAAAGAGTATTGAAAAATAAGATTGGTTTCACTTTTAGTATCTCACGATGTCAGTTAAATCTATTGATAGTTAATAAAGACATGAGGTAGAAATGGGTAAGCTGTGTCTGAGGAAAATCAGGAGTTTCTGAGCCAGTTGCTGTGTCCCTGGAATTACTGCTCTATCAGTTCAGCCCAACCATTTTTATTGCTACAAGATTGTCTCTTTGGATATCCAATGAGGACTCAGTCACATTTGCTAGATTTAATTAGATTAAGGAGGATTATTTGGGATATCTGGCATGCCTGTCTTGAGGGTAATTTCTATACAATCGTATTGGGGCTATGGTACTTATCAGGGCCATGGCTGATCCATTCAGGATACATCTTGAACTCAAAGCTCTCCAACTCTATTGTTGCTCTGTTTTCCTTGGCGAGTGTCCCCTCCTCCCAATTCCTGTGAGTGTTGAATATTCCTAGGAAGGTACACTTTGAAGACTGAAGTCTTACACTGGACTCTCATCTAACAGGGGGATACTTGCATTAAGAAATTTGAGATCACAGAAGGATCTCCCCCTTTCAAATTCTCTTAATACATGGATAAGAAAATAAGACCCTGATAGATAAGGGACTTAACCAAGGTTATGCAGGAAATTTGCATTAAAAGAAACACTCAAACCCAGGATTCTGCCACCCTCCAGGCAGGTGGCTTAATTGCTAAAACCTGCAGCCTCTTTTCTCTGGTCTGTGTTCCATCAATGAGTCTCTACCACTTCCTTAGACCTCAGCTAGTGTTCTTCCTAAAGAAGGGTTCAAAGAACCAAAAGGAAAATTTATGGGGCTTCAAAAATGCATATAATCTAGGGAATTAATAAATAATCTATTTACTGGCATTTAAATTCCAAATTGATGACTCCAATGCACAGAACACATGTCCTCGGCACAAGATATTTCAGAGAAAAAAAAACTTACCTTAAGTATGGGAGAATTTCTTCAGCTTCTTATTCCTGTACCCCCGCTTTGAGAAAATCCTATTTGGTTATACTCTTTTATTCAACTAAACCAATGAAAAGTGAATATTTGAATATTTGCACTCATGAAGGATAGTTTCAAAGAAAATATCCATGAGTGCTGTAAACTTAACCAATACTTTTAAGTGTTTCTGTATCAATTACCATTTGTCAGTATATGAACAAGAAGTCTAGAACTATCAATTAAAAATTAATCAAGACAACAGAAGGTATCCTGAAAAATAATTAATGTGAGCAAAGGATCAGGCTTTGGTTTACAAAAATTCAACTCATAGGTGCTTTGGGAGCAACACCTTATTTAAAAAAAAAAAAAATGAGCATTGTTAAGATTGACCGTATATTCATTTCAAGCAGCCACATTCTGAAAGATTTCCTTATTGTTATTTCCTAAATAGTAGTATGGATAAAATTAGAGGAGGTGCAGACTGGTTTCTAAACAAGAGAAAGCATCAAGCTAGACATAATCGGAGGCTGCTGCCTCTTTGAGATATCATCACTCGCAGCATTGTTGGGGGTTAGGTACATACATTTTCTCCAGGTCCACAAATCCTGAAAATGCTCCTTTGGGGATCACTTGAAGTTTGGTGAGGACAAACCTCCTGAAAAAGAGAATGCAGATAAAATATCACAACCTACCCATTTATTGATAAGTAATTGAATACCTGATGCATATTAGCTAACAGCCAACATATATTAAATGCTTGTCACTTAGTGATGGTTATGATTGCTTCACATGATGTCTCTTTAGCCACACCACAAAGTAGTGGTGTTGGCACTGTTGTTGTCTCCATTTTGCATAAGGATACTGAGGTTTAGGGAGGTAAGAAAACATCCAGGTCATATGACTAATACGTGGCAGAACTGGAGTATGAACTTTCTTGTCACAGTACTTCATGTTGTCTCCTGCAGCCCTATGTGAGGCTCTTTCTCTATTGCACCCCTCAATGCCTCCCCCTTATTGTCATCCTTCCCTATTCCCGACAGAGAAATTGATCCTAACAGAAAATAGCTTCCTCGAGCTCACATGGCTCTGTCACAAATGCCTCTGCACCTGGACTCATCCACACCAACTTCTCTCCTGTTACCTGTCTAGGGTCATGACAGAACAGTCCTCACCATCTCTTCCTCACTCTTCTAATCGAGGTAATCACTATAGCAATTTGTACCTTTAGTCCATAAATTTCATCTGCCTATTTTTGCTTTTCTGCTGTATCCTGCTCATTAGTGAACAAAAATGCCATTATTTCTCCCATCTAAAAAAGGCTCCTCTTAGCCTCAGTCACTTCCACTTTTTTCAACTTTAAATATCTGTCACACATCTGCTTCTAGATTCCTGCCAATGGTTCCTTATTTTAGGGAATGATTGAGACTGTACACAGTAGCCTACTGAGCTCACAAAAACTCCCAGCTGCCCCTTCCCAGAAACGTACTAACCTCCACCCCTTTTCTCATCCCTATTCTTGTCACAGTTCTTTCCTGCTATTCCTTGGACACACCAAGTTTCTTCCTGGATTGCTTCTTCAGCCTGTTGTTTACTCAAATGTCACTTTCTCAGTGAGAATTTCCTCGACCATCCTATTTAAAATAATTTCAAATTTGCCTCCAATTCCTTTTCCTGCTTAAGTTTTTCTTTATAGTACTTCTGGTATAATTCTATGTATCTATGTTTGTACTGTACTTGTTGCTTACCATAACTAGAATGCAAACTCCATGAGGGCAGAAATTTCTGTGTCTATAGCTATATACTATATTGCCTAGAGCAGTGCCTGGTACATTACAAGTACTCAGATGTTTCTTGAATGATTGAGTGGATGGCTATTAAACAGTGTGAAAGTTCTATACTTGAAGCTAGAATTACAAGTGACCATGGCTTTTTCCCTCTGGCTTTCTGTTGTTTTGTAATTGATTAGTAGGGATTTGGTTTTCTTTCCATTTTAATCCTTCCTTCCACAAGGCAGTCTGTTGGTGGGAATTAAACACTAAGGATTTGAATAGTTTCACAAACCTTCATTGCTCCATTTGCTTATCTGTTGGTACTAAGGACATTGTTTCAGACAAAGTGATTATTCATCCAAACAGATCTTTTATGTTCACTTTGTTAACATTTGGCTGTCACGTGGACCAACTCTGGTGTGTTGTTCTTGCTCTGGAGTTTACATTCTTGGGAAGGTCTAACTGAAAACTTTGGACTGCCAGAAAACAGTTGCAAGATAAAGTGGATGTAATCATTATGACCATTACACAGGATTAAAATGAGAAAAAAATCCAAACTACATAAATATATACAGGAAAGAAGGAAAAGAATGGGCACATTTTGAACCTGGGCTGCAAAACTGTTATATCATACTGAAAGAATAGTCTTTGGTAAGTGATTTAAATAAAAGCAATGTAATTTAGCATTAGGTGTGATGGATCTGGGAGAGTATCTACCTCAAGAATGCCTATCTGAAGAATCAAGGTTAGCTCATACTCATTTAATTGTACTTAACCTTAGTTATTATACAAATTCATTTTGTTTCTTTTTATCACAAGGCAGAAGAATGATGAAAACAAAGCAAATAAACCTGCTTTCCTCAAATTGTCTAATATTTTCAAGAGAATTGAAATTTTGAGGTAACAGTGAGATGTACAAATAGTGAAATCTTGGATAAATGACTTCTTAGTGGCCCTTTTTGATTTGATTCAATGCTAGTAGCAGGCACATTTTCTAAAACTTTTAATGCCTGTATTAAGTGGTTCAAACTTGTTAACATAGTTAAATCCTTTTTGAAGATTGAATGTATGACTTCAATTTCCTAAAATGTTATTAATTACTCATCTGATAATATTTCCACTAAAAATGATTTGGAAAGCTTCTATAAAATCTGACAAATATTGTTTTAAATGCATAGTTTATAAGAGAAATCCTTAGGTGCCCAAAGTGAACCAACTGAGTATCAGATGGAACCCTAAGTGTGTCCCAGCGAACCAGAATTCTAAGAGATGAAACAGAAACCAAAATATCCTTGTAGGGAATTAATGAACTAGGTAATTCAATATTTTGTATTTTGATGCCAAATTGATACCAAATTGATGAAGTAAGACATGGGAGAATGCAATATGCATTTCTGTCTGTCCATCTATCTAATATGCATTCTAGAACATAGGTACAGAAAATGGAGGGCAAGCAATTTCCAATGAGGGAACATCTTTGTTTCATAATTTATGAAAGATTCTGAGTCTCTGTTCAAGGAAGAGGAACAAAAGTAAATCTACACTTGTCAATTAAAACTGTAGAGATGTAAAAGAAATTATTTGAAATGCAGAGAGAAAAAAGTCTTTGGAAAAAAATTCAGAAAACTTTGTAAAAGTATCTTTGAAATTATTAGGGAAAATTACTCAATTTAGAATCCTATAACCCAAAAACTATCATCACAGGTGAGAGCAAAATAAAGGCACTTTAGACAAATTTAATTAGCTGAGTAAGTTTTGGCAAAGGAATTCCTTTAGAGAATAAGAAAATTCAGGGGAAGCAAAACAACACAAGGAACAAAGAAATTAGCATTTCTTATTCAATAAGGTAGGTTTTCACAATAGTTGGAAAATTAATCTATGTAATAAGTATAAAAAAATTTATTTTCTTTGAAAGTGATGCAATTATATTACTTAGAAGTAAGTAATAGAAGACAATTCTTTCCACCTCCAGGAAATGTACACATATTTGGTAAGTCAAAACCAAATCGATACCCAGAGAAGCCATCTTTTAAATTTACACATGGTCAAAGAATGAAAATAAACAATGTACAGCTGAACTGCTACATAAAATATCTTTATAATTTTATTCTATCAAAAAAGGAAACAAAAGATGCCAATGACAAGTTTCCAACACAAACTAGCTAAAGAACAGACTGGAAACAGAAAACTATAAAGTCACTATTTCTTTATGCTATTTCTGGTTAGAACTTAAGATATAAACGCAAAAGTAGTTTCATAGGAAACACTGGTAAAATAGGGATGTGTTCACGAACACTCAGCTACACATTGTAATTTGAAATACACATTTAAAATTTAATCTATTCTACTTTTTATTTTACAATTTCACAACTATAAGGTTGTTTCTCCATAAGTTTATTGATATGATTAATGAGCTTTCTTACAGTATTGTAAGGTTTATTGTGATAGTTTCAAGCACTCCTGCCATAACTTTAACACCAAACTGATCATTATAAAAAAAAAGTACTTATTTGAATGTTGAAGAAAACCATTTATCACTTAAACTTTGAAACTATTTTTCATAGGTTCACTTTAATGAGCAACAACCTAATTAACGAATTGGCAGCAAATCTGAACAGTTCATCAAAGAATATCAAGAAGACCAACAAACATGGAAAATATACATCATTACTGAAAACAAGGAACATGCAAGTCAAAACCACAATGAGATATCTCACACCCTTGAATAGCACTTATTAAGAGGACCCCAAACAAGAAGTGTGACAAAGGATACTGAGAAAAAGGAACTCTATTACACTGTTGGTGGGAATGTAACTTAGAGTTAGTTTGGAAAGCGATCCAGATTTGCCTTAAAAAATGTGAAAATGGAAAAACCACATGACCCAGCAATCCCACACTTTAGTTTCTATTGTCTCCAAAGGACATGAAACCATCAAATAAAATATTGCAGGCTCTATAATGTTCATTGCTGCATTATTTATACAAGTTAGGACATGAAAAAACCTAAGTCTCACTGATAGAGGGTTAGATCGAGACGATGTGACACATCCACACAATGAAACACTATTCAATTTTGAGGAAAGGAGATGGATGTTCAAAGAAATCATGTGCAGTAAAGCCAAGTCAGGATGACGACGACAAATATTGGACACTTGCATAGCAGATGATTCAACAAAGAAAATGCCTATGTAAATGAATGGGCACTAACAAATGAAGTGATGCTTCTAAGGTAAAGAGGGAGACCAGGCCAAAAGGTCAAAGGGTATAAAGGATGATGTTAGGTAAAATAAAGTAAATGAGTCTATCCAGTTAACTTTAAAATACATTGCTAACTTTAAGTTTGCCTTAAGGAGAGTAGGAAAAAATGTGAAGTATAGAAATGAATTAAAAACAATAGGGAGGATCAACAAAATAATGTGTTGGAAAGATTAAAAGAACAAAAATATCTGGCTATTTTTGTAATAATTGACAGAAAATCCTAATTTAAGAGGTTTGAAAAATGGCACTTAGCTACAGATTATCAAGCTTTCAGTTAAAAAACTGTAAGAACACGGGCCTCCCCGGTGGCGCAGCGGTTGAGCGCTGGATTGCGAAGCTGCGCGCGGCCTCTGCGGCGCCGGTTCGATCCCCGGCTGCTCCCCGGCCACCAGAGGAGGGTCCCACATGGCGCGCAGACCTCTCCTGCCGCCCGCTGCTCCCCTCAGCAGTGTACTTCGGTCCTTCTGCCTGCTCTGCTCCCCGCTCTGGCTCTGGTGAATTCTCTCGCCCTCCCGCGCTTCTGACTGTACCCAGTGCATGTATAAACAAAACAAACAAACAAACCAGCAAACAAATAAATAAAGCATGCCTCTATAAAAATAAAAAAAAAAAAAAACTGTAAGAACAA